GGGGGGGGGGGGGGGGGGGGCTTTTCTAAAAACAAGTGGCTACTGAATGACACCATCACAGTGTTTCACACTTAAAGGTCTGACCACCCATCTCACTAAGACCATTTGTAGAAAACTTCCTACACAATTTGCCACATGTATTTATTCTGACTAGACTAATCAAAATTTAGGTGGCAAATCTGGTTTGATGCAATGTTTATGATTTGATGTATCAGTCAAATGGAAGGACATTTACAAAGCAGTGCTCCTAACTGGGCAGTGCCCAAGCTTGGTTCAATGGCCCTCATAACCTACTACTTAAAGCCCACGAGGCCAAAGACAAGGGCCTCCACAGCTGGCAGAGGAAGATTTAACCCAACTCTAACGAGATTTAATTTTCTTTTTGCAAGTCTTGCCAACTTTCAAAGCAGAAATGTTGACATTGTTTTTTTTAAAATAGGTAGGATGTGATCCTACATTCTTAGCCGTGCTTTTTAAATAAAATAACCAACAAAAATATCACCTTAGCAGCAGTCTCTTTCTTTAACTGTTCTTCCAAAGTGATCTTTATCTCCTGAAGACTCTCAAGCTGTTGAGACTTCTCTTTAAATGTGGACTCCAACTGTGAAATTAAAAAAGAAAAAGCTGAAACTCACAGAAACTCCCTGTGGTTCACAGCACACTGACTGGAGGAGCCTGCAGCCTAAAGGAATCTACCCAAACTCAGGTCCTCCCAGGCCTTGGATCTTGGTTATGTTTGGAATGCTCTTCTCACCCTTTGACCTCTGTGGACCCCTACTGAATTTCTTCCACATCTAGTTTTTCACTAACCACTTGTTAGGCACCTACTATATCCTAAGGCCAGGAGATAGAGAAATCCAGAGAGACGGATGCATAAATAATTATGGCATGTGAACATACAGGAAGAAGCATTTAATTCTGCCAGGAAAGTTGGGAAGAGATTCCTAGAAGAGATGATGTTTGACTCTTTAAGATGAAAATTTTTATAGAGGAAGGAAAATGGTGGTATGGGGAGATGGTGGAGAGAGATACTCCAAAAAAGGAATGGATAGCATGCATAGAAAATGCACTCAGGAACAGTGACGAGGTCTGCTTGCCTACAGCACACAGTGCTCGGGGCTGTAGAGGCTGAGGCTGGAGAGACATGTGAGGCAATTTTTAAAGATCACCTTTGCCTCATAACATCAAGGTCAAGGGTTCAGATCCCCATACCAGGCATCTACCAAAAAAAAAAAAACCACCTTGGCTTCAATATGGAGATGAACTACAAGTGGATAAATTTTGGAGGCAAAGAAACAAGTTACAATAAGCCAGGTGAGAAGTGAAGCCCAAGCAGTGGGAGTGGGAGTGGAAAAGATGAAAGGCATTCAGGGCACTGGTAATTTCTGCCAGCGCCATCTCAGCAGTAGAGTAGAGGCAGAAAGCAGACTGCAGTGGGCTGAGGAGTGACCAGGAGATCAGGCAGTGGAGACTGCTCTTTCAAGAACCCAGGCAATAAAGGGAAGAAGAAAGATGGGTTGCTTGAGAGAGACGTGCAATCCAAAGAGAAATTTTTTCTTTCTTAATGGGAGACACCTGAGCATGTTTACACACAATGGAAAAGACCAATAAAGAGGTAGAAGCTCAAAGTCCAGAACTGAGAGGGATAATTCAGGGGATGGCTGGAAGAGATGGGAGTGATTCAGTCCAAGTACCTATGCAATGACACTGTGGTCACAACCAGGTCATCATTTTCTCTGAAGAAACAAGAAAGAGAGAAGGCAGGGAATAGAAGTAGGAGAATATGTGACCTAGAGTCCAGAAGCTGAAGTTGGCCCTGCCTGAGGACTGAGGAGTGAGGTCAGTATCTACCGAGAGTGACAGGATTGAGGAATGGAAGAGACACAGCTCAGGACAGATGAAAGTCTGAGGAACACTGGAGGCCCATGTGACAGCCTGAGCACATGTGCCACCAATTCTGGTGGACTTGTGGGTGTCGGTGGGAGACTAGGTGAAGAAGCAAGCATGTAAGGTGCAGCCTTGAAGAAAGCAAAGGCAGTTGCTAAAACCAGGAGAAAAGGGAAAGTTGGAGGAATTGAAGGTCTGAAAGATGTACTTAGAACAGCAGGATCAAGAGATGGAAGGATGGAAGATTGTGGTCAATGAATGTGAGGCTGGAGAGAGATTTTAGAGTGGGGCGAGGTGCAGCCAAGTGTGTAGAAAGAAGGGCGAAGTAGAGGCAAAGGTCTTGACATTCAGGAACACTGAGGCCAGGGAGCTAAATGGGGTCACCTACCAAAGGTGCAGATGTTGTCTAAGAGAAGACTCTAAGCTAGAAAACATCCTCTCCTGTTTGTAAAAAAAAAAAAGTGTACGTATTTCGACTGCAGCTTTAAGCATACATCATGTTACAACCATGCCTTGCCTGTCTTCCCACTACAATGGGAACTCCAGGCAACAGGCACATCTTGGTCTTCCCTATACCTCTGCCAGTTAACACACGGCCTGACACAGTAAATGCCCTCTATCATCATCACGCCCAAATTCCAGTGGATTTTTCCCACTAGACAGAAGGCAGGGACCATGCCTTAACCTTCCTTAAAGGCAGGGACCATGCCTTAACTATCTTCTTATTCCTTGGGTGTCGCATAGTAGGATTCAATAAATAACCACTGCTAGCCAGCTGTCAAAAAATAAATTAATAAAGAAATAACCTCTGGTTGCTGAAACTCATGACTCACCTGTCCCTTTTCTACTTTTATTCTTTCTAATTCAGCTTTTAGGCTAGAAATGGAAGCTAGAAGGGAAAAAAAGAGAGGTATTAGCATTCATTCATTATTTTACATTAAATCATATTCCTTAAAACATCCCAAAGGATTCAAATATATACTGAACACTGGGTGGGGGGAACCTTTCACGAAATTATCCCCAACCAGTCGGCATCCTCAATAAGCTCAGGTAAAGGCAGAATCCACACAAATGGTCACTATCACAAACCACCTCTAGATCAAGTACCCACATCGGACTCTGCTGGCACATCAAAGTTCTTCAAGGAAATGCCACCCATCTAATCATGTTCTGAGTTTCCTATCTATTAGTAATTGTCAAAGAGAGGCCATCAGAGCTCCTAAAAAGACAATGAGGTTTTTGTGGCTTTGGTTTTTCTACTCCGAATTACTGGATATATCAGAACATCTGGAAACACAGACTGAGTTCTTAATTCTTTCTGATACTTTTCTGTTCTACACATTCCATCACCATGTATTACTTCTTACAATCAGAAAAATTTTATGTAGTGACACCAATTCTAAACTACAGCACTTCTAGCTTCACCTATTTCCTCCTTGCAGTTTTCTATTTCTAGCTGCAGAGTTTCTTCAAGGTTTTCTTTTAAACACTGTTCTGCTTGAATCTGCTCTTTTAGGAAAAGTATTTCAGCCTTCAGTTTTTCTTCCATGTGGTCCGCTGCTGTCCGCACATTAATGATGTTCTCACGGTATTTTAATACCAACTCCCGAAGTGCCTGGATTCAAGAAAAGAATGGTTACTGGGGTTTGCGAGGGTAAAAGGAAATTTTTAAAAAGAAGCTAATGATTTTCTATTACCAGAATTTTAGATATTGTTTTAAATGGTTCAAAATTAAGACTTTGAACTTTAACCCACTTGGGGCTTCAAGGGCAGGTGCCATGTCACCATTCAGTATGTTACAGAAATAAGACATTTCCAGCCAAAAATGTGTGTTGTGAGCTATATATTTTCCCTCAAAACTGTTTCATAAGCAGAAAAATAAATATGTTAAGTGACTTGCAACATAAGATTCACTAGGAATAACAGCTTAGGAGCCTTCTACTATTATGCAGTGGACTGAATGACCCCCTAAAGTCATTGAACCTTAATCCACATTGTAACTGCTGAGGGTAGGAAATCCTATTATGGTCACTGAAAGGTGGGGTCTTGAAGAGGTGATGGATTGTGAGGACTATGCCTAGTGAATGGATTGATTCATTCACTGAGTAATAAATTGATAGATTAATGGTGGTCATGAGTGTGGTTCTGATGACTTCAAAAGGAGCCAACTAAGAAAGTTAGCTCTCTCTTTGCTCCACCATTTTCTGCCATGTGAAACCCTTGCGTTGCTGTAAAGCCACCGCCAAAGAAGACCCTCAACAGATGTGTTCCCTGGACTTTGGCCTTCCCAGCCTCTGAAACTGTAAGCAATAAATTTCGTTTTCTTATAAATTACCCAGTTCCAAGTATTTTGTTATAAGCAACAGAAACGGACTAACACATATTACTTGCATAAATTTGAGAGGAGTTAGAGAAAGAAGACAAAAAAGAGTGAAACTCAGAAGCAAGTATGAACTCTAATAGGATAAAATTTACTTATTCCCTTATTCATTCATTCAAAAACTAACTGAACACCTACCACAAGCAAAGTACTATGTTAAGCCACAGGTAAGTAAGGTTAAAGAATGGCTTTCTAAGGTGATCAGCTGTTTAAATTCGGCTTAAACCTTATATTTTCCCTAAATTTTAGCTCTGTTTTCTGTTAGAAATCCTTCCAATTATATCCTAAAGCAAACTCCGAAGTAACCGGGATTCTTAGCTAACAAATGTACATAAATTAAAGGGCAGCAGTTAAAACTGTAACAAGAAAAAACTCATAAAATCTATTACTAAAGCAGGTCCAAGAATCAAGGCTTACAAGATAGACTGTCTACACATCCCTCAAGGATTCATGGAATTTTTAAAAATCTAGCAATAAAGTCTCTAGAAAACATGGAAGAGAGGAATCTTTCCTGACAAAAGAGAAAGGTCTAACAGAGGTGGAAGGTGGTAGTACAGTGAATTTAAGCTGATAGCAAAAGTAGATGGGTTCCCAATACCTTCTTTTTGATGAGAGTATACACCAGTTTAGAAAGGAGAAAGGGCTCTCTCAAGAATGCCAGTAACCTGAGCTGACATGACAAGTTGGGGGAAGGTGAGGAGGAACAAGAAGCTAATTGCAAGATACGCAATTGAGTTTTTGTAAATGATCAAATAAAACAGTACTGTTAATATGTACATAGGAAAAAAGAATGAAGTCTAAATTGTAGAGGTTGGATCTACAGGGTAGGATTAGAGGAAACTTTTACTTGCAAAATTACAAATTTCTGTAATGTCTGATTTTTAAATAATTCTTAACAACTACAATTTCTTTAAAAAAAAAAAAAAGAAAAGGAACAAATAACATTTGTCTATTTTGTTTTGAAAATTGCTCTAAGAAATCCCATCTTTGCCTATACTGTTTATAGGGTTTCTTCGGGTTTAGCCTAAGATATTTTTTATGTGTTGAAAGGTTTAGAAACATATACCTATAAAAGTCAGATAAAGTTAAAGAGAAAGTTATGAATGTCTCCAGTTTCTAGCCCAGATTCAGCCAACCACACAAGAATGTAAATGACCAAAAGTGTCATCTTAGCAGACAGAAAGATGGTGGGTGTGGTACAACCTTTTAAGTGACAGATTAAAAACAAACACCACAAGGAGCCAGCTTGCTGACCCCTTCAAACATTTCTGGCACATTCTCCATCTGGTCCCACAAGAATAACATACAGACCTGGATTTGGCAAAGGATTCTTAGACATGACATAAAAAGCACAGCAACAAAAGAAAAACTAGATCAATTAGACTTCATCAAAATTTAAAACTTTTGTGCTTTGAAGGGCACCATTAAGAAAGTGAAAAAGACAACCTGTGGAATGGGAGGAAAATATTTGCATATCATATCTGACATGGGACTTATATCGAGAATATATAAAGAACTCTTACAACTCAATAACATAAAGACAAAGAGTCCAATTTTAAAAGCAAAGGATCTGAATAGACATTTCTGCAAGGAAGACATACAAATGGCCAATAATCTGCTCAGCCCCAGTAGTCATTAGGGAAATGCAAATTACAACCACAATGAGATACTACTACAAACCCATTAGGATGGCTATAATCAAAAAGTGAGATAAGTGTTGGCAAGGGTGTGGAGAAATCTGAGCCCCTAGACACTGCTGGTGGGAATATAAAATGGTGCCACAGCTTTGGAAAACAGCCTAGCAGTTCCTCGACAGTTTAAACATTGAGTTGTCATATGACCCAGCAATTCCACTACTTGCTATATTACCAAGAGAAATGAAAACATGTCCACACCAAAACCTGTACATGAATGTTCACAGCAGCATTATTAATAACAGCTCAAAAGTGGAAACAACCCCCCAAATGAATGAATAAACAAAATATCTACACAATGGGGTATTGTTCAGCCATCAAAAGGAAATGAAGTGCTGATACATACTACAAGTACTGATACATGCTACAAGATTCACTATTAATACATAATGAATCTTGAAAACATTATGCATGCTAAGTTAAAAAAGCCAGACACAAAAGACCACATCTTGTATGATTCCATTTATAAGGAAAATCTCAAGATATAAGGAAGATTAGTAGTTGTTTAATGTTCAGGGGGAGGGGAAACAGGAGTGATAGCTAAAGGGTAAGGGGTTTCTTTTTGAGGTGACAAAAATGTTCTGAAATTGACCATGGCGATGGTCACATTTAACTGTGATATATACTAAACACCACTGAGGTGAACACTTTAAAAGGTTGAATTGTTTGGTATGTGAATTATATCTCAATAAAGCTGTTTAAAAAATAACTTAGAGACATTTCAGAAAATGTACTTGTTGACATTTTTGATCATGTGGAAAATAAGTTACCTCGAGAGTGTCTGGGAGGATGAAGTCTTCCGCTTGCTGTAATGAAACATGCAAGCTATGCTTTCCCTGGAGGCTGTCATTATCTTTCTGTAACCTCACCAGCTCTTCTGAAACCTGTTCCCGTGACTGCATCAGCACTGCCTAAAACAGAAATAGATACTAATCACAGCCAGAAAGGTAAATCTGGTCTGGTGATAGCTACGCCAGAGCAAAACAAGGCCAAACAAATGAGGGCTGAGGATAAAGGGTATGTAAAAAGCTCTGCAAGACTTAGAAAAAGCTGCTCAGATTTTTTGATTTGCAGCCTTTTCACATATTCAACAAAGGGACAGGCAATGAAGCCAGTATCTGAGTTCATTCTCTAGTTTCTATCAATAGCTTAAAAATAATTAATCTCTTCCCTCCATATTCCTGGACTACAGAAGGACCAGGATCTCTAGCTCAATGGAGGTGGTTAATCCAATCGAGACCCATGTCAAATAGAGCATGTACCCCTAGACAACTCCTGTTTCCTCATGGCATGCATTCAACAGGAAGCACAGAGAAACAAAAAAGTGTCTTCATCTTCCATTACATATACATCTGTTCAAATTCAGGGTCACTATGAATGGCCCAGCAGCCCCAAATACTGAAAGTCATCAAGTGGCTCTATGCTCAAAAAAAAAACAGGGCAACTGAGAAACTCATTCTTAAAATGAGACATGTTCCTACTTCCTCTGCTTGCTGACGTGTAAAACAATTTGAGGTATTTCATATTAATCTGTATTGACATAAAAGTAATTATAGCTAATTTGAATATTAAAGTTCTGCAAAAGTATTTAATTTCTGCTAATTTTTAATACTAAGTCATTTACCCTTCGGGCACACATAAATGTAGTTTACTCACTCATCCAACATTTATTTAGCAGCTACTACTCTATGCTAGGTGTTTTGCTGCCCATGGGGAAAACAGAGTTCAAAGACTTTGCCCTGGAGAAGCTCATGTTCCAATAGAGGACAAAGATAAGTATGCCAAAAACTACTCGACAGTACCATAAAGTGCTATGGCAGAGGCTGGGTACTGCAATGATAAAGGGACAAAGACATACCTAATTTGGGAGAGAAAATCAGGGAAAGGGTTAAAGAACATTTCCTAGAGCGGGTAATGACTACGCTTTGCATCCTAAGGATAAATAGACTGCAGATAGGCAGTCAAGGTCATGTATAAACTTTGGTTAAACTTCACTGGCTCTTACTTTCTTCAGACTAGAATCAGCTGTGCTTCATGATTACTCTCAACCCATTTACAACAAAATATTAGCATCCCACTACCTTTTGGATATGAAAGATGGGAAAGAAGAATATGTATACTTGTATATATTTGCTTTTTTCTTTTAAAGAGAAAAACAGAAGGATAAGCCAAAAAAAAAAAATTAAAATGATTATGTATGGGAGTGGGTGGAAATGGGGTAAAAAGCATAAGGAATAGAAGTGAGATCTGAATATGCATACATATTTATAGTTTTGATTTATAAACCATGTTGCATATTCAAGAAAAAGTAAATCAAAAAAGAAAAAAGCAAATCTGAAAATTTAATAAAACAGAAACAACTGGAGCTAACTATATATAAAATTGATGATACAATCACAGAGAGATAAATCAAGTAACTTTAGAACACAGTACCCAAACTGTAAACCCTTACCTAGGACACATTCTAAGGGCAGAACAAACTACAAAGAAATGCTGAACTTTACTGAATAAGTTTGCTGTTGGTAGCAATATTGATGTAGTTCTTTTTTTCTTTTTTTAAAAGATGACCAGTAAGGGGATCTTAACCCTTGATTTGGTGTTGTCAGCACCACGCTCTCCCAAGTGAGCTAACCAGCCATCCCTATATAGGCATCCGAACCCGTGGCCTTGGTGTTATCAGCACCGCACTCTCCCAAGTGAGCCACGGGCCGGCCCTTGATGTAGTTATTCTGAAGCTATTTGGTCCCCACCTTAACCAAGTGATCAAACTTAACATCACCAATAATGGGACCACCCATCATTGCATGCTTTGCATGCTTCTGAACTTCCAATCGGATCATTTCATCTTATGTAGTATTCTTGCCAAAATGTCTAACCCAAATCTACTTGAGGAAATAATCAGATAAATGCATTCTACAAGATAATTACCCTAAAACATTCTACAAGCAAC